CACCAATACACGATAAATGGGACAAATATGTAGCTCGTTGCAACCATAGCAGATAAATGCTCAGAGATGACAAAGTCGCAGGTCAGCAGAATATGCCGAAAACTTTCAGTTCTAAACACAAACTGCTGTACAACTATATCCATGGCCATCGTGCGATGAGGCAGGAAATTCCTCTGCTCCGGACGACTGATTTTCCAAGTAGAATAGCTGTAGAAGCAGAAAAAGAGTTGCGGACGTAATATGCTCCGACATTACAGAGAGTCTTACTGCCAGGCTATCTTCCAACTTACGTTTTTCCGCCTCCAGGACTCACCCACATATCTTTTTCTGGCGAAGCTGCATTGCAGAAGCTGACTTTTCTACGCAAACACAGCAACTCAGGAGTCGACACTATTCGTCCAGAGGCACTGGGAGCCAGGAGCAAGACAACTGGCGAAAGCTTTGACCAAGTTCTTTCAGCGCTGCTTAGATTAGAACCAGATTCCTGCGACGTGGAAGCTTAAAATAATAACCGATTCACAAATGCAGAAGCAATGCTGCGCCCTCAAACTACTGCCCGGTGTCTCTTCGCCCTGTAGTATCCAAAATCATGGAGTGCACTGTTGCCGGTGCGCTGGTGTGTCATCTAGAAAATTGTAAAATTATTGAACCCGAGCAACACGGTTTTCGTCGACAGCGTTAGCGCACAACGATTCTGTTAATCGCATGGAGTAGTTGGACCGAGTCGGCTGACGCTGGAGAGGCTGTTAATGTGATCTACTTGGATTTATCAAGGGCATTCCATAGTTTAGATCATCGGATTCTTCTTTTCAATCTCTCTTGAGCTGGGTCGCCAACTTTCTCCTGCAACGATAATTAGTGGTCAGAGTCTAGAGTACCTTATCTGAACCCAAACCACTCGAGTCTGGTGTGCTCCAAGGCCCAGTTATAGGTCCACGATTGTTTTTGGTATTCCTCAATGAACTCGCACGGTAAATCACTTCAGCTTTCCTGCTGTTTGTTGAGGACATCAAGATATGGAGCCAGATTCAGGCGGATACCGAACAGAATTTACTACGGTATGACCTGGATATGGCGTATGAGCGGTCAACACGAAATTTGCTATAGTTCAAGGTGGACAGATGCAAGGTACGCTCCATACGACACCAGAATACCAATCACTACAAGCTAGGGAAGCAAATCCTGCAGTGATCATCCGACGAAAGCGACCTTGGCATTTTTGTTGAGGATAACTTAGCTTGTTCCAAGCAATCCGCGAAAACATCGAAAAATGGTAACCAGCACGTCGGCTTGCTACAACGGGCATTCGGACAACTAGACATTACTATTTTCAGACAGATGCCGACTGCGTATGTCCGCTCCCATGTCGAATACGCAATCCAAGCCTGGTTGCCTTGACTGAATCACGACCTTGCTGCAATGGATCAGGCTCAACATCGGGCTTCTAAATACGTCATTAGGATGTAATATCTTCCCTACGAGCAGAAGCTGAAAGGTTTGGGAGTATACAGTGAGCGGTATCGCCGACTACGAGGCGACTTAATCATGGCGTATTTGATTTTACACAATACAAATCATGTGTGCCGCTATTTACTGCAACTCAGCAGTAGCACTAAACTTAAAGACCACTGCAAAAATTAGCAGAACAGTACAGCCGACCAGCGTGCCGTAGAAATTTCTTTTCCGTTCGCGTGTGTCTAGCACAGAACGCTCTTTCCGAATCGGTTGTTTATACACCCACGCTAGCCATATTTAAAAGTCGGTTAGATGACGCACTCTGTCAATTACGTTCTGTTACCTGACGTTACTCTCCATCCTGCTCCCGATGAATAAGCTTGAATTTATTAATTTTGTCGCCTATTCAAGCTATGCAAACACTTGGAGTGCCGGGATGCTGCATTACGTACGATAAGCCAATTCTTTTTACATCAGAACTACTAACTGCACTCTTGCATTCACGTTTTTCGGTCACCCACCAGTCTACCCAACGGGGATTGTAAAGCAGTACTTCTTAATCAGTATAAAATCATTGTACACCCAAGGGAAGCACATGCTCGTCGCGGATGCTCTACAGAGAGCACATCTTCCGATAGTCGTACACCAGCAAAAAGCGCGAGGTAATCAAACTGGTACAACGTCTGGCGATAGCGATAGATCATTTGAAAGCGATCAGACGTCATACGGAGGCACATGCGGTGTGCGTGGCGTTGCGAGACGGGATTTTGTGACGATGACTAGATACAAATAAGAACCATCCGAGGGAATTAACGCTATTCTTCAACTTTCGGAATGAACTCAAGCTGTACGACAGTTTGCTATGCAAAGGAAATCGCATTTTGATCCTACCATCGCATGGTAAAGGGATGCTGGAGCACGTTCATTAAGCCAATTTGAGTATTAATTAGGGCATTAGCAGAGGCCGCGCACTGAAGACCTGGCCCCGGATGACCAGTTAAATAGGAAACAAGTGTTAAATTGTCCAGCCTGCCTGCCCCACGAAAAGTGACAAGACAGGGAACCCATGATGTTGCGTCAGGTTCTGCGCCGCTCAGAGCAGAAAGTAGCAGTGGACTTGTTCTGTGACAACGGGAAAGACTTTAATTCCAGTGGACTGTTACAGCGACTACTTCGAGATCGATCCACTCACTGCTACCATTACGGAAGCATTCATCAACTAGCTTAGATGACATTTGGCTAGACACAGTGTACCGGAAGAACTGACCGCCGAAAATGGCCCACAGTTTACAAGTGCTGCGTTCCAGAACTTTGCAAACAAGTGAGAATCTTCGCATCAACAAAAGAGCCCGTATCACAATCAGTGGAGTAGAAAAGCTAAGGCGGCTGTCAAACAAGCCAAGGGGCTGTTGTTGTAGGCTAGATGTAACCATGTGGACCCATAATTAATACTGTTGAACATTCGCTCCACATCAGTACCGAACATTGGTCTCAGTTCAGCATAAGTTTTGTACGACAGAGGGGCAAGTACTCTAATGCCTGAGTCTGCTGAACTTCTGTCTTGCCATTGCATGATCAGCTACAAAGGGGTTACGAAAATGAATGGCAGATCAGAAACCGTATTACAACCCCGGGAGCTGTGCGCTACTCGAACTATCAGTAAGTGAGGAAGTGCGGATCCAACCAATACCGGGTGTCAGCGCACGATGGAAGAAAGATGTAGTGACTAGTGAGTTTCGGAGAAAGGTCTTATGAAGTCAGTACTAGAGGGCAAGTAATCAGAAGGAACCGGGTACAACTGAAGCGACATCGGGAAGGAGAAGATGAACATGCTACAAAGAACATGACGGTTTACAAGGTGGTTACTATGACAGGGCAGTAAAGACCACAAGGAACGGTAGAGCGTGCTTAGTCTTCAGCGACACCCATGCGGCTGATCCCGAAGAAGGGAAGGATGTGAGAAGATTGTGCAATCAGAAGAATGATAGGGATTTACATGAGGAAGTAAGTGGCTGGCTTGTCAAAAGCAAACAGAGCAGTTGACTATAGGCCTACGCGTATTTTGTCTATGCGCTGATTAGTTCGTAGTTGGCTACGCTAGAGCGGATTTCTTTAACCGATTCAAAGGAAGAATCTCATGAATGCAGAAGCGTCCTTAGTTATGGAATTGACCTGGTTATTAACATGGAGGTTGCTATATGCTGGTCATGCTATCAATTTTGCTGAGCTTGCTTTGTCGAATAAACCGTTTGTCCCTGAAGGACCGTGTTATACTACAGCTGTCTGCTGTTGTTCAGTCTGACTCTGAGAATCCCATGAAGAAGACGTCAAGGTGAAACCCGACCCAGTCACTTTTTGGATTTATGCATATGCTTCTGGCATATCGCTGACTGACTGTCTGCGGCATTCACCCAACTAAATGTTTTATAGATAAAGAAAGCACTCTGCAGCAGCTGAAGCGCTTCATTTAACCAGTGGAGGCAATACCAATTTAAAAGGCAGTTTATTGACTCTCTGCAGGGCTGTTTACCAACACTGACCAATAAACTTTCTTACTGAGTACGTTCAGTTGTCCTGCGTGCCGGGTACTTTAGTGCCGCTGTTTTCTCACCGAACCAGGATACGTTGTCAACCGAGTGGCACACCAACTGGGGTGCAACCAGGAAAAACAGCCTCCATAGGCCTTGTGAGAGCTTCTACAATGCTACAATACCAGTCGTCAGAAACTGAGGCCTGTCAGGATAGCTGACTTAGGACTATGCTATCCTGTGTGTGCTTCATAGGCTCATTATCCGTCAAGTCGACGGAGTATAAAATCAAATCTACCTTCATATGCTGCCAGATTTGACACAGGGTGCACGCAATGCATCATTTGATGTCGAACGGAACACTAGGTGTCAATGATGAATCAAACTTCACTGGTAAAGTCAATAGGGGACTGTTGCTGATAAAACTGAGGGTAGGATTCATGCAAGGGGAGGAAATCGGAAGTGGCGTAAAGATTGCTGACGAAATTGCCATGTGGACGAAATCATTTACCAACAACCAATGTCGTGAAACAATTGCATCAGTAGTAGTCCGGCTTGAGTGAGTCCATTGAATATTTCCTAGTTTGAAACAAAAGTAATGAGTAAACTTGTTTTCGGTGTTTCATCAGGCTATTTTAAGCACAACAAAGCATGCTAAAATGGACACAGGAAGTTAAAACGCGGTGGGTCACTGAAGCAAAATGCCCAGTCGATAGGGCCACGGGATTGGTCTGGAGGATGTGAAGTCGAGTGAAGTGCAACTACCGCCGCTGTTAGACCTACTGGTCTGTGGCCCAGGTAAAGTGAAATTGTGTTTTTGATATCTTCTCCTAGAATTAACTCTCAATTGAAACATTCTAAGTTACCCATTTTGTGTTCGCCGCCATCCACTGGACATCTTGAAGACAGCCGGAGTAGTATACCACTTCCCAATAGAACTGCATTCACTGCTAGTTAGTAACCAGAACAGCTAATCCATTCACATATCGGAGTTTTTCGTCAATCCAAGGAACTTACCTGCGACTATCGTTTGGATTCCTGCCCCGGAAGACATACGCGATAAGCTTGTGCTGGTATTTCCACGCCAAAATATTAGACGACTGCGGTCCGTGGAACCTGACTCGAGGAATAGGAATGTAGTTGGTTTAAAGACCTCACCTCATTTAACCTGATAATATTCAGGCGCCAATGGTACGTTGTCAATAACAGTATTTTAAGCCTAACGTATGACTTGGTTTTAAACTGATATGCACATAACTCTAAATCTAGAATTCAAACCCAAGTTTCACAAGTTTCAGTGTTCAGCAACTGGGAATATCTACATGTTTCACCGGCTTGTGAGATAGTCAGTGGTGGTGACATTGTCCTAGTTGGCAAACGCATAACTTGCAGGAGCATCCAGCACAAGTGGTCACGATCAACGGGGAGATAAAAGTGTCTGATACGCGGATAGCATCCGGTCAGTGGAACGGAGATACAATGCATTCGCTGGATTAGCTGTCTGCTGTAAAATGGTTTACACTTATAGTAAGGTCCAGTCATTTGCGAACCATTCCACGATTCGATTGGTGGCAACAGATGCATGATAATCTGGAACTCACCGACAACGAGATTCAGATCATGGAAGCACTTCAATAGGGTGGTGTGATGTTTCCTAATTTGTGATTGCTCAAGGAAAGAACACACATCGGTGACCTGAAATAGAGCAAAAATAAGTACGATTAGTCAGTGATCACATGGTTATGGCTGGCAAGTCACCGGTACCCATGCCATTGAACCATTTGATTAGGGATTGAAATGATGTGGGAGCTTCTGAGTGTCGTCATTCAGCTGTCCTTACTATTTTAAAAAGTCCTTCGGAGTGAGGTGGGTGAAATGTAGACCATAATCTTACCTTCAGGCATCTTAAGGAGACCGCTCACTGCACTAAACGACAATTCTGCTATAAAGAATTTTGTAGGGATAGATAAGAGCACCTCGTTTATAGTTTGGAATACCGGTAGTGCGGCTTGACAATTAGGTTGTTCATTTGTTCGCTGAGTTTGTAATTTGGTTACAAACGTTTCGTCTCCAACCGTGATGACATCATCCGTGCAGAGTTGGCTATAGTTTGGCCACAAATAATCGCGCCAGACAAATCGAAGAATCTAGGATAAATTTAACGTGCCTCTACTTACCTAGACATTCTATAGTGGAAACATTTTCCCACGTCCGAATATTATCCTTGCAGCTACTCATCAATAATCAAAACTAATCTAGTCCCAGCAACTGCACCGACAAACAGTCAATCAGGATGAAGTGCGCCTTATATCACTAAAAAACTATGTGAGGATAGGAACGGTAAATGGTTACATCCATTCCTGGATATGTCAGGCACGATTTTGGCCGCCAAAGTACAGCCAACTGTGCAATGGTGCTGCTACCTCGGTTGGTGATGAAACGTTTACAACCAATTTGTCAAGCTCGGCATACAAATGAACAATGGAATGGTTAAGCCAAACTACCGGTATTCCGAAACATAAAGAACCAGGGCAGTGTAAAGCTAGAGACGACGATTAATCGTCCATAAGCATGGTTTGCCCCTCGCCAATACAAATGGATTGTGATACGGCTGATGATCACTGACGCTCACAATCGTTGTCAGAAATAAGAAAGATGTCCGAACGAACCTTGATCTGTCTGCCTTCAGATCGCTGACAGCAACTGACAGAACAAGTAACAGCTGCAACTGAATGCATGGTAGTGAAGAACAGTACAAAAAGCACAATGTATCCCTCAATAAACATTAAAAAATTTGCATCTTAAATACAGGAATAGTAGTGACGACTGGATCATGAATCCACCAAACCGACCAGTCGACGAAGGCTCAGAACAACTCATCCAGAGACTAAACCATACCTTTAGATATGTAAAAACGCAAACTTTCTGCTTGCATTCTAAAATGATATGTAGTTCAGTGGATTTGATGAAAATACTCAAAAGCAAAGTAAATACATAATTTATCCAGGTATAATGTTCACCAAGCAATACGGATGAAGTCAAGAACCAGTGCTCTCAACCACTTCGTGATATGCTCCTAATGGTGCTTAAAACAGACATCATTGGTTATAACAGAAGACTTCAATTCACGTGCGGTCGGTTGCTGTCTTGTGAACGCCATCTAGTGGGGCCTCGTGGGTATGATGAGGTTCGCTGACAATGGAGGGAGAGTGATATGCCTAAGTACTAGCAACCAACATCCCCACTCCAGCACCATCTTCCGTCAGCCGGAATGCCGTTGGGGCACACGACGTCCTGCCTCGTCAGCCTAGTGCTATTCACAAACTGAGCACAAAGATATAAGTCGCAGGTCGTACGGCAGTGTACATGATCGCGGATCCTTTGGGTTAAGTTGCGTTGTAACAGATGATGTATGCGTATGTGCGACAGATTGCATGCGTTTAGGCAACCTATCTAGAACTAAGCAAGTTGTCAAGTGATAACATTTCTTCCGGTAATATCCATGACCATAGAGTCCATTGTAACTGAGGCGCTCATGAAGTACCTGGAGAGTGACAAAAGTATTGTTCCGGAGCTGCACGGATTTCGCCAAAATCGGTTGTGCACCACTAATCTGTTGATAGTACGTGCAAGCTGGATGCAATTTGTGGACGCTGGTGTAGAAGTAGATGCACCTTACCTTTGCAGGCATGTTAACGGTCTTCGAAAGGGGAAGTTGGGGATTCCATCACTTTGCACGACTGATGGATGCACGCGATCAACAATGGAAGCAGCTGGCCTCCTACGGCTTCATTACTCCCAAACTTTTCAGCAGGTAACGTGGCCAAATATTCTCCACGTTTCTATCATTCAACTGTCGGGTTTAGACAACATCACCTTCACTGCGGAAGCTGTGTTGAAGAAGTTGTTATCCTTACGTATCCACAGTTATCCTGGAGTCGACAACATCTGACCAAAGGTCGTGCAGGCGGTAGCTAGTGATCTAGCAGAACCACTGGCTGGTTTCTATCAGTGATGTCTAAAATAGAATCATATTCCACCAGTATGGCAGCCAGGGGTCATCACTCTTATCCACAAAGGAGGTAGCCGCACTGACCCTACCAACTACCGTCTAATAAGACTACTTCCTGTACTATCCAAAGTGCTGGAATCAATCATCGCAGATGCGTTGATGTAGCACCTGGAAAGCCACAACTTAACAGCCCCAGAGCAACGTGGCTTTGTTTAAAAGCGTTCATACTAACCTATTAATTGCACGTAATAAATGGACTGAAGCTGTTGATGATGGGCAGGAGTCGATGTCATTTGCCTGCACTTCTCAGAAGTATTTGATCGCTTAGAACATCGAATTCCTTTTTAGAAGCTTTGGAAATACGGCACTGGCGACTCAAGCCTGAGTTGGATTAGCAATTTTCTACCGAACGACGACTAGTGGTGAGAGTCCGAAAATCATTGTCCAATGCAATCGATGTGGTGTGTAGTGAACCACAAGGCTCGGTTCTTGGACCTCGGCTGTTCTTGGTGTTCATTAAGGAGTTGGCGAGATCAATTGCTTCCGATTTCTTATTTTTCGCTGATGATATCAAGATTTAGCGAAGGATCAGAGGACCAGACGACTACGAACGGCTCCAGTATGATCTTAACACAGTGTCGAACTGGTCAGTTCAAAACGCCCTACCATTCAACGTAGATAAATGTCGCGTTGTACAATTACGCCATAGACATAACTACACCTATCTACTTGGCACCAACGGATTGCAGAATAGCTCTCAGGAGCGTGACCTTGGTGTGATCGTACAGAGCGACCTCAACTGTTCAAAACGGGCTGAGGTAGCTGCGGAAAGAGGCAACCAGCAGGTCGTCCTGTTGCGAACGACTTTCAGGAGTTTTGACCCATCAATTTTCCCAATGATGCACAGTTCCTACAAGCGCTCGCATATTGAACACGCTATCCAAGCTTGACAATCTTGGGTGAAGCGCAACCTAGAGGTGTTAGAGGCAACACAACGAAGAGAAACAAAGACTGTAAAGGGCCTGCGCTATCAACCTTACCACCGAAGGCTGAGGTTACTGGGAATTTTCAGCGGATACCATCGAAGGCTGCGCGGCGATCTCATATTAGCGTGTCAGATATTGTGTGAACCCAACCACGTATGCCGTCATTTGTTGAAACTTAGCCACAACACGCAGCTCATGGTTAGCTGTATCAAATTGAAGGAACAATATAGCCGTCCGAGTGTCGATGTAATTACTTCTCCCTTCGGAGTTGACAGCCCTGAAACGAACTCCCAGACTAAGTTGTATCCACCCCTACCGTGGACATTTTCAAAAAACGATTAGATGTTGCTCTTAGCTCCCAGCACTTTGTTACCTAAACTCCTCCATTGTGCATTACGCTAAGCATGCTTTTCTACAGGATTTATGTATCAAATGGACCCAAGTGAGCGACCATATTTTACTTTTCTCACGCATTATATCAACGATCACTGCATCCCAGTGTATTTCTGAACGTTTACGCTCGATATCTTTTAATTTTACACTGATGTTATTTATCAAAGTATTCATCTCGGCAGACGTTCGGTAGATGATCCAGATCTATTTTGATTTCATCATATTCACCCCAACCATCCTACGGGACTTGTCAAGCACTTGCTTTTATCCCGTGATAAATCATTGTTCGTTGTTCATTGTTTATTGAACATCTCAGGCATTCGACCGCCTGAATCAGCGTGTTCCACTGCACAAACTCAGGAATTATGCTGCCGGACTTTTTGTATTGGGATGGATAGGCGACTTTGTCGTTCAACTTCACCTGAATGTGAGGGTTCGTAGCACCCTGTCGGAGCCAATCGAAGTTTAGTGCTGTGTACCTCAGGGCTCGGTACTCGGGCAAAGCCTGTTCCTGGTTTGCATAAATGATCTTGCAACTGTGCTGTCTTCAAACTGTCTGCTATTTGCAGATGATCTAAAGATATGCCGTGATATCGCCCCAGGGGAAGATCACACAGCCCTACAGGATAACCCGGACAAAGCGTACACACGGCCCATCGAGAACCCGCTGCATTTCAACGCCACCAAGTGCAAACATCTGAGCAGACGCCGTCAGAGTACTCAAAACTACCGCCTAGGATCACAAATTCTACAGCGGGCTTCTCACGAGTGTCATCTTGGCATGCACGACCAAGAAGACCTTGGGTGTTTGAGGCAAGCTGAAAAGGCATTAACGAAAGCAAACCAACACTTCTGCCTACTTTATAGAGCATTGGGGAAGTTTGATACCTTAATCTCTCCGAAAATACTTGGCGTTTACGTGAGGCAGCATGCGGATTACGCTATCCAAGCGTGACAGTCATGTAAGAAGCACCAACTCACCGCGCTTGATACTGCACAACGCAGGGCGACAAAGGACGTTAGAGGTTTGTCCAGCCTTCCCTATACACTCAGACTGAAAACTTAAAATGTACATCGGCCGTTATCAGCGTCTACTGGGACGGCTCACAATGGTTTACTGAGAAACACAAACCACACTGACACTCTTTTGAAACTCAGACACAACGCATCTTTAAGAGGTCATCAGTTTAAGTTTGTCATGCAGTACAGTTGGAATGTCGGTGCAACGTTTTCTTCTTCCGAGTGTCCCAGCCCTGGAGTGCTCTTCTGGCGCATGTAATAAACACCCTAACCTACCACTTTTC